TGCATTTTGTTGATGTTTTTAAACTCTTTTAAAAACTCTATTTTAGTAGTGAAAAAGTGACTTTAGTGACTATTTTTAGGGAAATAGTGACTTTAGTGACTTTTTGGTGTAATAAGTGGCTTTTTAGTGACTGGCTTCAAAATAGTGACCAAGTCACTAAAAAGTGACCTGCTACCAGCCCTGGGTCTATATGCGTCATCTCGATTCTAAAAATACCCATATTAAAGGATATTTGCTAGTATTTCCCAGTTTTCCTACAACCGGAAGCCGCCATTTTGTATTTCAGAATGGCGTCAGACATTGATTTCCGGTTTTTATACGTCATCCCGATTCCAAAAATACTCATATTGAAGGGTATTTGACAGTATTCCCAGTTTTTCTATGACCGGAAGCCGCCATCTAGGATTTCAAAATATCGTTGGAAATTGATTTCTGCTCTCGAGACATCACCCCGATTCTGGAAATACCCATATTGAAGGGTATTTGACATTATTTCCCAGTTTTCTGCAACCGGAAGCCGCCATCTTGGATTTCAAGATGGCGTCTGACATTGATTTCCGGTCTCGAGACGTCACCCTGATTCCGGTAATACCCATATCGAAGGGTATTTGATAGAATTTCCCAGTATTCTGCAACCGGAAGCCGCCATATTGGATTTAAAGATAGCGTTAGACATTGATATCCGGTCTTTATACGTCATCTCGATTCCAAAAATACTCATATTGAAGGGTATTTGACAGTATTTCTCAGTTTATTTGCAACCGGAAGCCGCCATATTGGATTTCAAGAAGGTATCCCCCAACAAACAATTCAAAGTCACAAATAAGCATACACATTGAATAAATGTTGTATAACAGTGTACAATGCTGAATAAAACAGGATGTCGAATTATGTTCTGAAAAAAGGTCATTGAGATCGATAGATGCGTCTTTATTCCGCCGTTTGCTCTGATATGATTAATTTCCTTATTAAAAGCTTTATAAACGTTGACTGTCTTCCTTATTCAGAACCAGAAGCCTGATCTAATAACAAACTGAATAAGTGTAATTTGCACATACATTGAGACTTTAATTCGACTGTTTTCAATTGATTTAATAATATGCTTTATTAGACGTCTAATAAATGTTTTCTAGCTCCATTATTAGATTGCATTGCATTGCTTTACAATATTGCTGTATAAAGGTGAATACACTCAGCAAAATAGCTCTTATACCACCCAACAAACAATTCAAAGTCACAAATAAGCATGTATATTGAATAAATGTTGTATAACAGTGTACAATGCTGAATAAAAAGAGTTGTCGAGTTATGTGCTGAAAAAGCTCATTGAGATCGATAGATGCACATCTATTCCACTGTTTGCTCTGATCTGATTAATTTACTTATTAAAAGCTGTAAAAGTGTTAAATGTCTTCCCAATTCAACGCCAGAAGTTCGATCTAATAACAAACTGAATAAGTGTAATTTGTACATACATTGACACTTTAATTCGACTGTTTTCAATTGATTTAATTACATGCTTTATTAGACGTCTAATAGATGTTCTCCAGCTCCTTTATAAGATTGCATTGCATTACTTTACAATATTGTTGAATAAAGGTGAATACAGTCAGCATAATAGCTCTTATACCACTATGCGTCCATGTTGTAATCACATGATTTGTAAATGCTTTATAAACGACGTATTAGATTCATTATTCGACAACACTGATTCAGTCTTACAACAAGGCGAAATCAGTAGAGTATTGGTTACCGTTTCCGCTTTCCAATTAGAAGGTCATGAGTTCAATCCCAAGCTCAAACCTTTTTTTTACAATAATTAATCTAAATAGTAGTAAATCTCTATAATAAAGAAAAAAAAAAAAAAAAAAAAATCTAAATAGTAGTCATCGATCACATGACTCACGATAATGAATGCATTGATCTAGTTTAAAATATAACCGAGCATCCTTTCTTTCGACTTGAAGATGTGAAGAGGCAACATTGTTCTCATTCAAAACAACGATGAATGAATTAATCATTCCCACAGGGCCTTCAAGGAGCTAGAGTTGCGATCGGGAGTGCTGATAGGTATTTACTTTCATGCAAGCTTTTATAGATTATTGAGTTGCCCATATGATGAATTCTAGGATAGCTCAGATGACAAGGCAAGCGGCTGGTGATCGGGAAGGTACATGGTTCGAATCCCATACCATACAACGCATGTATAAGTATTTAATAAATTTTCTAATATCTGTGTGGTGCGAGCCACATCAGAAATAATGAAATACAATACACTTAAGAAAAACACACCACACCCCCTTCCCTGTCCCCGTTCATCTTATTTTCGGGTTAATTTTCCCACAGTTGAATAATCGTTTTATAAATGTACAATAATGTCTAATTAAACGTTACTTCACATGAGAATCAAGCGTATACAGAGCATCACTGTTTTTAAGGAGAAGCAGTGATGTCTAATAAACGCTGAATAATCATTAATTTTATCGTATAAACTCTGTTACAACTCAATATAAGTCTAATAAAAGCTTCTCGACATACCTTATTCAACACCAAATATTTCTATGTTGTGGTTGAATAAATTCTCCAGATTTGTGTGAACAAAGCCTGAACAGAAGTTGTTATTAAAAATAGTACAAGTACTATTAAGCATGCAGTTGAATAAAATGGCCAAGAAGTCGTTTCTTCAATAGACGATTGTTTGTTGGGCCGTTATCGATTTCCAGACTATAATAGGCGTCACCCGAAATCCAAAAATACCCATATCGAAGGGTATTTGTCAGACTTCAAAATGATTTCCAGTTCCTTCGCTGCTAATATTGTCTATCAAAATATTTGACAATTGAATTAATAACTGTCGCTTGGTACAAATATTTTACTCACCTTTTTGGGAGCACTGCTATTTAGTGCTTGCCAATGTTCTGAACCAAGAACGGTATACCCGGTTTTGGTTACATATAATTGAACCATGCACACGGTTCAGATCTCGTGAACCAAAACAAAAATTCTAGCACACCGGTTTTCGGTTTACAAGCTGCGGTTCTGAACATCAACTCGAAAACACGCTTACATAAACACAGGAGTATTTTTTTTTTTAACACGAACCAGCACACGCACCGGTTGGTTCAGTTGCCCATCACTGCCGGACACAGACATGCAGGATTTGGTAAAACATTTAATACTCTCAGATTTTGAACAGTGTTTCAGATTTCATACTTACAACAAAAGATTTAGGATCCTGGTCTAGAAAACTCTTTAATAGGGCAAGTCTGATTCGCACAACCAGAACCACCTCAGGACTTTGAAAATGTTTGAGACTCCGCAATAAAAGTATTTTCAATATCGGACCAAGGCAAATTAAGTTGTTAGGTATGTGTTACACCTATGAAAAGTACAAATAAGTTTGCATACACAGGTTGAGCAAAGGAAATGAAACAGGGACAAAAGTACATTTAGTTAACAAATGAACAGAATTCAATCAAATATATACAAACATATTTTCAGACTGCTATCAAATTTTCGGTTATTTCCCAATTCTCCCGGTTCAGTGGCATCCCTGAAAGTGTACCATGTACAAGACGCTGATAAAACCGTTAGTTCTCTAAGGGCACGGGACGTGGACAATGCTCGAGGAGGACCTGCAAACACTGGGAGTTTTTGAACGATGCGTGTTTAAGACTATCTTTGGCGGGGCAACTCTATGGCAAACCCAGTATCCAGAAAGTCGCTTAACCTGGAAGGGTACAAGGGGCGGGACAGGTTGCAAGAATGCCGAGTAAAAATCCATTATTGTCCAGACGGTACAAGACGCAGAGGAGCGCAGCGAATTAGATTGTTAGATCAAGTGGAGCACGATCTAGGAAGTGTGGCGTCCCACACGTCAAGAAACTGGAGACAAACAGCCACGAATCGAGTTAGTTGGTGCAACATTGTAATGCAGATCAAACTCTGAGGAACGTCGGAACAGCAAAACTAAATTAAGTTGATGAACAATAATTTCTGGGTAAAAACTGAAAGACGCAGTCCGTTTATGATTTTTTTTTTGAGCTGAATCCAACTTTTCATATGGAGATTTTTATTACCACTTACCACTGCAAAAAGGTGTCGTCAGCGCGAAAAATAACCCTGACTTATAGCGAATTCGTTTATTATCGGGGTTAACAACCAGTTCCAACCCAATGCGAAACCGAACTGTTTATCAGTGCGAACCTCAACCTGACGTAGGTTTTAAAAACAAACGATCAAACTGACGTTTGTCGGAAAACAAGCATATTTAATCCTTGATACCCGATCCAGGTTGGAGCTGAATAATAAATTAATTCGCTATAAGTGATTCATTGTCGATGTCATAAATAATGATATCGAATATTAAGGCATAAAAGAAAAGATGAGCTGTTTCCTTTTACCTACGTGAAATCAACTAAATTTACCAAACAATGCATTATTTTATAAATAAGCTCGAAAACTGCACTCATGCATGATTCTCTGTCGTAAATTACGTGCACAAGCATGCAGTAAATACACAACATTTAGGTTTACCGTTATCTCAAGGCACAGACACGTGAACTATTTCGACTATCATTTGCAACGGCTCTGCTTGGCAAAATATAAGCAACGTTGATAACGTTGTATCCCACTGCTCAACCTTAAAAACGCCCAATGAAAGGCGATAAGAAAACCCGAAGCCCCGAAGGTACCTACATTAGACATAAAAGCAAACGAGCACGTCACCAATCATCAATAATGAGCATGTATTGAAAGCCATCACTAGCAATGTGTTATCTTGTGCTTACGCGTGTTACTGACTCATAAAGCAATTTGAACGGACAAAGATGAAACTCGGCCCACCATCATCTCATTGTTGACGATATTGTCTTGGTATTCAAAAGGAGGAAGGGCGTCCGCAATTAGCACATCGAACCGCACGGCGCAGATCAACTCCCAATTACGCTTCGAACGGCGCAGTAGTAGGTAGGTTTTGTTCCTAACCCAAATCGACTTACCTGTTTGTTAGCGAATATAAGTAGAACGGCATCTCTGAGCTCATCTTCCGCCAGCATTCGCATCAGTTCTTCGCGGGCTTCGCCGATACGTTCCCGATCGTTACTGTCCACGACGAAGATAAGTCCCTACAAAGCAAAATAAGGAAGCAATTACAGGGAATCTGCTTCATCTAATAATAACGCATCGCCTGCTACTGACCTGTGTGTTCTGGAAGTAATGCCTCCACAGAGGTCGGATCTTGTCTTGACCGCCTACGTCCCATACTGTAAAACTAATGTTTTTGTATTCTACAGTCTCCACGTTGAAACCTGGAATTGAATGGTGGGGGAATTTAATTCTGCGATCTCGATCAACCTTCGGGTCACCGATCTTACCAATGGTAGGAATCGTTGTAACAATTTCTCCTAATTTTAGTTTATACAGGATTGTGGTTTTACCGGCGGCGTCCAATCCGACCATCAATATTCTCATCTCCTTCTTGCCGAACAGCCCTTTGAACAGATTTGCAAACATGTTCCCCATTCTGGTGCTTTGTTTTTTAAGGGTTTCGCTTCCTTTTACAACTTATCCACAAGCTAATAAAAAAATCCTAACCTAAGGAGAACACGCACGGGATGTGTGTGTGTATGTATTCCTTTGCTTTTGTGGGTACGCGATAATCTTCGTAGAAGATGCTTTTTCCCTTTGTCTAAGAATGTGTGTATGTGTGATGCTCCTCTACTAGCTGCGGTTAGTTTCGGTTTATATTTCTTTCGAATGGTTTGGTTTTTAAGCTTGTTCAGTGTCTGGAATGAACCTAAAATGAGAATAGAAGAGGAATGATTCGGTTAGAAAACGGATTAAAGCATGATGAAAGAAGGGTAACAATTATCAAGAACGTAATTAAGATGGACAACTGCTGATTGAGAGCATCATATTTAGACTTCTTCTGTATTAATGCTAATGGAACAGATTTCATTTGAAAGGCAATGATAGTCTATGCCAAGGGAAGTCGAAACATTCCTTGACCTTGCCGGGAATCGAACCCACCAGCTCCGGCATGCCGCAACTATATGTACTGACTTACTCGAGAGGCTTCCTCAAATCTTCAACTTAGATTTTTATTGCTACGCTGACGTGTACCATACCATACTGCTACGCAAAATGTGCTCGTTTCCCTGCTTCCACTCTTAATACTCATCACTAAACAGCAATCATTCATTTTTCCGTTCATCGTCCGAGGCAACAACGCCTGGAGAGAAGAGCTATCAGGAAGTTACCATACCGTGTAGCCCGGAGACCGCGCGACCGCACGTAAAAGCTGCGGCAGCAGCAAATACGAAAGATCTGTTTTTTCATTCGTTTGCATTATGGACATGAGAAGTATGTAGGTACATGGAATTGGCTTAATTAAGTTAACTTGTGTGTAGCATTATTAATTGTTCCCGCTAGTTTCCCGGGTTTTCTCTTTCACTTTTCTTTTCCGCTGCCTCTGCCAACGACGACCCCACCGGGCGACTGAGAGGTTGATTACCGGACCCTGTCGTTGTACTCTGGAGGAATGTCCAACGTCAGATTTTGTTATATTAATAAAACCTTCCATACGCGTGGTCTCCTTGCTTGCCTTTCTTCCCCCGCTGGATCTAAGGGAAAATGACAACGACGTCGTGAATCGCCTACTAGCATCTCGGTGTTGTGCTAGGTTGAGTGCCATGTGACAAATAATTACTCACTGTGGAAACAGGTTGGGTTAAAGACCAAGGACGACACGTTATCTTATCGCAAAGTCCCGCTAGGGAACGGTTGCAACAATGCATTCTAAATTTGACGGTTATACGACCATCATCAGACGTATAGATATGCAGTTGGTAGTATTATTAGCCGTCAATCATTGTCAAGTTTGAGTTAGTAAAAAATTGGTTTGTTACATAATAAATGTAGTAACAGCTGAATGGTGAACTGGCAAAAAGGAGGGGAATAATCGATTTTCCTATCACATTCGTTTATTCCTGGGTTTAGGTTGGTCATGTAAATATTGTATAGGTACCAGTGGTTGTCAAACTTTCGTTGAGATATTCAGCAATTCCATGAAAAAAAAAGTACTACCGAAAATAAAATTTGCTCCGGCTTCGTTCAAACCGAAGACATCATATCAAGAAGACTGGCAAGTTTGCCAGAATCCAAGCGACAGATACAATAGCGCTGCGCTTGAGTGAAGGTGGAAGCAACGCATAGAAAAATTAGCAAATACACAAACCTTTCTTCTGAGGATGTAATCTTTGCTATCAATGATTGTATCTGTCTCATAGCGTTCGTATGAGAAAATTGAACAGTTGCCAGTCTTCTTGATTTGTTGTCTTCGCTCAAACCTTGTATATTTGGTTCCTTCTCGAAATCATTTAAACTTGTTTTTTTTTCACCTTTAGGTTGCACCAGGGCTGGTAGTGCTGATGCGATATAATAGTAGTGACTTCAGTGACTAAAATTACGGAAATAGTGACCAAATAGTGGCTTTTAAATATTAAATAAGTAACACTTTATATGGTAACTTAAATACGGTTTGATATTAAAATAAACTTGTTATGTCATGGATCTTAAAATCAAATTTAATAAATTCCGCTAATTTAATCGAATCTCACACCAGAATCTCCTATGAAGAGCATCTTTGGAGTTCACGAGATTTTCATGGAATTTAATTATCAAAATTTCAGAACTAATTTTGAGTTATTATTAGAATTGAACCTAGAATTCTCATCCAATTATCATAGAATTCTTTCTCAGAACTTTCGTTAAAACGCACTCTCAATATTGGAATTGTTTTGGAGCTGAATGTTGCGTCTCTAATAATTTAAACAATAATCAAAAGCGACACTCGTATGTGTTAAGCCAAGTTCCCCTATATTGGAAGATTGCCGTAAAAGCTCGACGCAGATGTCGCCACTGCATGATGATGATAATGTGGACAGACTGCATATAAAATTCGTGAAAATTAGCATTAAATCATTCCAATATAACATCCGAAGTGAAGAATAAAATGTTTTCACGATCAGACTGATGTGCATCTTTGACTTTTCCAGATGAACTTTCATAAGATATATTCATTTCATTTCACAGCTCCATCAATGCTGCATCGTACATATGATGTAAACAGAAGTAAATTGCTCAATTACTCAAAATAAAGATGATTTGTCATCTTGTTTTTTTTTTTTTTTTTTTTTTTTGGTATCAAGCTGGAGCTGCGTGACAGCTTAATTTTCAAGACTTGACCCATTTGAATAAATTTTGCTTCTATCTTTGACAATACAGCAGAAGGACTAGCCTATGTTGGCCGCTTGAACACTGGATTCCGTATGTATTGTTTCAAGATAGTTATAGAAAAAATGCTGTGACGTGTGCGCGTAGATACATCCGCGTAGTAAACCGATTGAATAAGTAAATCCGTTTCGAACGAAATATCTAAATTATGTAAGTTACGAAATCCGCGCGAATTCCGAAAGCCGTGCGAGACAACCGAAGCGAGAAAAAAAGGCTTATTATCATTTTAAGAGTGCCACCAAAATAAATGTGATAGCCTATGTTGGCAAGTTGATTAATTTTGGTTTCCTCCTTAGATATTCTACTTATTTACTACTGAGCTTTGTATCAAATAAGTTAATTTAAAGAACGTATCAATCATTTCAAGATTTCGCGACCGCACCGAACAAATTCTATAAGCTCAAAAGCGTTTGACAAGCTCTACCGAATTGCGTATCACTTCTGCGTAAGCTCCGTAGACGTAGGCGCGTTGAATCCGACAGTCGGCAAAGGTTTAACCTGTACCAACACCGCTTAAGGAACGACCTCGAGTCAGTGAAACCGTTTATAGTTAAACATCTAAATTACGTAAGATACGAAAATCGCGCAAATTGTGAACGCCACGCGAAACAACCGTAGAGAAAAAAAAAACAACTTATTATCACTTAAAGAGTGCCACCAAAATAAATGTGATAGCCTATGTTGGCAAGTTGATAAATTTTGGTTTCCTCCCAAAATATTCTACTTATTTTACTGATGAGCTTTGTTTCAATTTAGTTATTTTACCGCACGTATCAATCATTTCAAGATTTCGCGACCGTACCGAACAAATTCTATACTACAGAAGCTCAAAAAAAAAAAAAAAACTTTTGGTGAGCTCTACCGCATTGCAAATCACTTCTGCGTAAGCTCCGTAGACGTAGGCGCGTTGATTCCGACAGACGCGAAAAGTTAAACATGCATCAATACCACATAAGGAAAGATCGATTTTACGTATGGTTTAGTTCATAGATTAACATTGATTGCTGTTTACAAATGTAAGTACTTGAACACTAAGAAATAAGTTAACTCAAATGCTTTAATCGCATATATAAGAGATTTCGCGTATTGAGAGAATAATATAGTAATCGAGTACAACAAACTCAGGGGAATACAATACCTCCAAAAGTTTAAAAGCTATTAATTGTCACATTCCTTTCCTTTTCTTATTTCCTAAACTATTCCTCTCCTTGTTAATCTGCTAAATGCTATTGGTCTGCCTGCGTTTTCTTTTTTTTTTTAAATTCAATACTAAATAAGAAGATTTATTCTACAACTATAAAGGTTAGTTGCCTCCCTAAGCGGACCACCCGCATCCTAATTCTTTTGTTAATCTACTTAATGTCATTAGACTTTCTGAAGTTTATTATTTAAATTCATTTGATGGTTATGATATCTCATTAGTCTAATTTAATAAATTATTAAAAGCTCTAAGTCACCTAATCAATCATAACCCATGCTTTATTAAGTATCTGCACTTGTGCTTGTAATCTAAAATTAAACGTGTTTCAAGTACTTTTGATTTTGACCTATACCTATTTATTATATCTTAGTTCGACCCAGGTGACACCTTCAAGTGACTAAAATGCTTCATTTTGAAGTTAGTTTCCTAGCTGATTTTTAAATTACATAGGGTATATGCTCCAACTACGCTCACACGTTTCCACTATGTCGTCCCACAAAATTACGTATGGATATATCACAATAGAAGCACGCAACAGTGGAAATCCCGAGCCATAGTTCAAACATTTATCCCAAATCAAAATGAAGCACATATAAGATTAGTTACAATACCATGTACAAAAATGATGTTTAAAATTGTTCCCTGAGTAATACTTCAATGAAAACAACAATGAAAGCTTGTCACGCAAGTAGAAGGAGCACCGTTGGGCACTTTCTGAAATATTTCAATAGTATAATTCCCTTGCAAACCCAAATAAATCTATCTGCGTAAAAATAAATAAAATAAGAGTGATTTGCGGCAAAACCCGCCAGTATCACACCCAACGTCAGTGCCTATACGTAAGCGTACTACGACGCGGCTCTCAATAAAAGGAGTAACAAGTGTGATACTATCACTGCTGGACTAGATCTTTTGTTCTCTCATGCAGTGGTTTATCAGAGAGGGGAAGCTCAGTAATCCTCATTGCCTGCCCATGGCGCCATTCTATCGCGGCATGAGCCAGCAACGTCGGCCACAAACCCACCGTCTCCAACACTCCACTAGCATGAAATTAAGCCCGCCCACCAACAGCAAGGTGCAAAAACTAGCCAAGGGGAGGGAAAGATGATTTGTCATCTTGTTATTACTTTATAAACCTTCGAGCACCATTCTAGAGTATGGTGCGTGTTGAGTTAATCAAGTTCCGTTGCGTTTTCCGTCGAAAATTGTATCAATATGATTAGCTAAAAAAGGTCAAAATGCGCATTTATTGAATATTGGCGTCCTATACAATTATTTTTCCATTATCACCAGCATGATAC